GCAGTACTCCAGGTGGGGTCTCACCAGAGCAGAGTAGAGGGGGAGGATCACCTCCCTTGACCTGCTGGTCGCACCTCTTTTGATGCAGCCCAGGACACGGTTGGCTTTCTGGGCTGCAAGGGCACACTGCCGGCTCATGTTGAGCTTCTCATCAATCAGTACCCCCAAGTCCTTCTCCTCGGGGCTGCTTTCAATCCATTCCTCACCCAGCCGATAGTTGGGCTTGGGATTGCGCTTATTAAATCCTTATTAAAATGATCCAAGTGACATCATTTTTTTAAAAAAAAAACAAACAACAAACAAACCTAGACCCATAGAAGTGAAAAACTAAACCCGTAGTTGTAAGACTAAAAGTATGAATCTCAACATACAATATTTTTAGATAATTGTATAGGAAAGGGAAAGACTCCTTAAAATTAAAATCTCTTGATGATTATTTGGCACATATGCAGTTTTAACACTGTGAAATGTGTATTTCTTTCATTTGCTAACTCTTTTTTGAAGAAGCAGTCTACAAATATATATATAAAATGGATACTTCAATGCCTATATAGCTTCATAAGATCAACTCAGTGTGTATGTACTGTTAATATAATAACCTTGCATTATTGTTTCATTTTCCCTCTTTCCACTTGGCATATACATGTGTTTGTGTACAAAAGCTGGTTATTTGGGACTCCATGTTTTTTTTCACTCAGTAACTCCCTCAAATTCCACTCTGGAGAAGGACTCCAGCAGAGAGAAATGAAAATACAGGTAGGGACTTTAAGTGATTTCTTAGATTCAAGTCTCTTCATATAGTATTGGTGGCTCTCTGTTTTATGTATGTAGCAATTTCTATACTATATTGCAGTGACTTTAACAAACGTTCACATTTCTCCCAAGTAAAAAGGAGGTATATATGTACATACTATAAGCAGAGATTACTGAGACAAAATTATGCGTCTATTCACATTATAAAATATATGCTGCTTTGGGAGATGAGGGAAAAATATATTCTCTTCTGTGTGCTTTCCACACAATTAACTGCAGTCAGTGATCAAAAATTACCACTGATACCGATGGTGATTAATATAGAGGTGATATTTAAGTGTATGTATCAAAAGCTGTGAGTTTTAAAGTGGATGTAACAGGAACATAAATCATCAGAACTCAAAGCAAAACCTTGATTTAATATATATTTTTAAATAGTTCTGTTAATTGAATTTTTTTCTTGCCACACACAACTTGATAAATTAGTTATATCTTCCTATGCAATGCATCCATCTTGTGATGCTATTAAGGTGGTGTAACTTAGATTACCAGTATAGTATGTCATGCAATTTGATTAACAGAAGTGAGGAAAAAAAGGTGCGAGCTTGAACTCAACCATCTCTGATTTTTTTCAGAAAGCATCAGAACAAAGCTGTCAGTAGAAGTGGTGTTTCATACATTTAGGTAGCCTATTAATGGCTATAGGATAATTCAAAAGAGACTTCTCTTCCCACCCCTCCTTGGGTTAAAATAGCAGATGTACTGTTTTCAGGCACCTTAGTTTTATGGAGCAATTTGATGTAGGCAGCCTATTGAAGTCACTGGCTAACTTAGTGGTGTGGCACAAACTACTGTTCTATACCCACCAATCAACAAAAAAAAAAAAAAAAATTGTCATCCAGACTTAAGTACAATTTGAACGCTTTAAGAGTTGCATCCTCCAGAAGTGAAACAGATGTCTGTCCTGCTTGCTATAGCAGTTGAGTAGCTTACATCTTGGTCTGAAATGTCAAAATAGCATTTGATAGAATAAAATTTGGCAGAGCTTTATCTTGCCAGAGAAGAGAAAGTTTCTAGTAGGAGACTCTGGAAAGCTGACAAATTCTTGGTCTGACTGTTGAAGTTCCTACTCCTCCAAATGAAAAAGGAAGCAACTGACAATTTTTATGAAACCTGTTAATGTACTTCTGAGCTATAGTTGAGATATAATTGGATCAGAAGCAACGCAGACTTTGGCACTAAAACTTATTAACTAACGAAATAGCAAGCAATGAACAGCCAGTGGTATCCATGGCAAATAAGTAGATCCTCTGCTGAGGACTGTAGCTGGGGAGATAAAAACCCTCATGGACTTTGAAAAAATCACATGAGTAACAACAGCTGTTCTGGTCGGGAATCTCCTCAATGCATGTTAACTTTTATTTTGATAGCTGTCAATGTAGGAGAGGATCCAAGGCAGTCCTAACAGTTTGTCAGCTTCTCAAGCACAGCAGGGTGAAAAATCAGTTGTGGTTATAAAGATTGATACTGGGATGACAACTGAACTTCCTTCAGCCCAGTGACAAACTGTAACCTTATGTACTCCATTACTCAAGTTCTCAGTAGTGACTATAGCTGGAACAGCATAGGAAATTGAATTCTTTTCATTTCACAGCTCTAGGGGGCAGCAAAATAAAACAAAAGAAAAAGAAAAAAGAAAATGATTGTCCTATTTTCTACTTGCAGTATAAATAATTGCATTCCCTGTGAAAAAGAAATCGGAGCAACAACAAGAAAACCAGAGAGAGAGGTGACATCTTGTTTAAAAACTTCAGATGACATTGACCCTCGGAGTTATCACTGCTACAGTTGAGATACAGCACCATCATGACTAGCCAGCCAGTCACCTAAGAGGGCATTCTGTCCCAGAGGAAGATAACTGGATTCTGTCTTTGGTAAGATTTGCCTCTTTGCATGCTCCAGATACAAGGATAAATGAGATTTGATAATAGTCTGTACTGGAAGCTGGAACATGCCAGGTACCATTTTGGTATTTCCTGGGGTACACTGTCCCCGAGGGCAGAAAGGTTGCCTGGAGAGTTGTAGCTGGCCACGACTCTGAAACCAAACCAGATAGTGCTGGCCAGAATGGATGGAAGCTTCATTGTCTGTCCTGTAGGAGAGTTCAGCAGAGTTGAAAAATGTCCTTCCTTTGTATAAATTCTGGAGAGGTTATGAGCAGAGATGAACAGCTTACCTCTAAGTGAATCCTGTGTGGGTGCAGCTGTCCTTAAAGCTGCATAAACCTACTAAGTGCAAGGTAAAACACATGCTCTGCTTGTATGGGATTTCTCATTTCTAACAATTTCACAACTGTCAAGTATAATTTGTGAAATGAGTTGTTGTAGCCGATTTGCTCTGAACTTCATGGCTAATTTAGGCAAGGCAGTTTGGCTTTTTGAAATTTTTAAGTCTCACAGAAGTTATCAGTATTTTCCCAGGTATTTGCAAGATCTCTTGCATGTTCTTATCCTTAAATACTTAAGCAGCCCGGTCACTTCCAAAGAGTACATTCTGAGTGCTTGCCTTATTTGGCTACTCCATGATTACTTGCTGCCAATTCAGTGGCTTTCGCTACTGTGTTTGCAGGAGTCTACTCCTGATTAATCAAAGCTCTTAGTTCAGTAAGTTTGAGTATTATAGTAGGACCACAGATTTATTTCTCAGGGAGTTCATTGGCTTTCTGCAAGTGATGGGTCTAGCACAAGGTCTTTAGCTTTGAATAAAATATTTTTTACAGCATGCTGACAGTCTACAAAAAATTAAGTTATTTTTGATAAAATTTCCTTCTGGAGGCTCATTTGCCTAGCAAGGAAATAATCCTTTCTTCTTGCTAGCTGCAGCTTATGTTGCTTTTTTTGTTCTTCCTTCTCTGATAAGCCATATGTGTAGGTATGGAAACAACTAAGTTTTGATGGCAGATGAAGTAATTGTAGCAAGCGATAGAGAATATATTAAAAAATACTACATGCATAATGCAAAGCCCTCATTTCCCATGTTTTACTGCATCCATTTTTAACATTTAGAAGAATAATTGCTATTTCTTATAATGTAGCAGCAAACTAGTATTTTTTAATTGAGATAGCTTAAAACATACTTACTGAATTATAAACACTAGTTTGCTCTTGTTAGGCATTTGTAAACATCTTAATTTAACTTTGTGAATATTCAGGCTTATTGTGATCTTCCTTTGGAATCCAAGATCAAACTGAATAGAGGTAAGTGTGCAACAATTTAGTATGCAGCTCATAGTGAAAAATTTGAAGTTGTGCTCATAAATTCTTCCTCAGTGGACTTTTTTCCTAGATATTCGTGATCAGTAGGTAACTTCATTAGTTTGAAAAGTTCTAGTTCATATTAAAATAGTTTAATTCTTTTATCACAGATACACTGAGTAGAGGTTTGTATTAGCAGTCTTCCTTTGTGGACAGTAACTTGCCTGACTGCAAATAACTAGTAGGATGGGTAAAATCATAGTAACTTTTTTAAAGAATCTCGCCATTTTTCACATTTAAAATTGGCCAATATGAAAAATGGTCAAATACTCTCAGATACATTGGTTATTTGGTATTAGTCACAAATTTATAAAGTTGAATTCAATCTTTACTTTGTTAGTAGTAAACTTTCAATACTTCAATAGTTCTGAATGGAAATACCAGTCAGCTGATATCTATCTCTTTTCTGATTTAATAAATATAACTCTTTGAATTGGCTATCTAGAGAAAACACTTATATTAGTCCAGGTAATTTGAATAAAACTTTTTTGACAGAGTACTACCCTTTGGAGTGATTAATGACCAAGTATCAGTATATCTCTAAGGTACCACTATAGTGCTTATATGGTATTCAGCCATTGTTCCATAATAAAAGGAGAGAACTCATAAAAATTTACTTTATTCAGCATCAAAATTGTTTTTTGAAAGAACTGTATTCTTACATTTTTAAAAGTCCTGTAAAAATGTATACATTTTTACTTTTTTTTTAAAAAAAGTTCAATGTATAACTAAAATGTGCTGCAGAATCCTAACTTCTTTGGTACGTAGGTCATGTAATTTATTTTCTAAAAAAAGCAAAAGTAGATCTGTCATGTGAAATGAAGCATTAGACCATGCATCATGAATTTGTGGAATCCTGGCCTTACAGAATTCAATTGAAACCTTTTCATTATCTTAACTGAGATGAGAAGTTCATCCCACATGCAAAATCTCTGTGTAAATCAGATAATTTTAATCTTCTGTTCTCAGAACTCTCAGTCCCTGAGAGGGAATAAGGACAGTAGCAGTATAAACAGCATGCACGTTCATTCTTGGTTATTTTTTCAAAACTTACAGCTGCTGTCCGGTCCACCTCACAGCGGCTACTCAGAATGAAACAAGCTTCAGCATCATCCATTCTAGAAGAGAGGAGACAAGCCTGTTACATACCAACAAAATATTTATGTGGACTTGTGTTTCACAGTTTATAGTCTTGCATTCTTATAGAAACAGAATACAGAGAAAGTTTAGTCTGTCTGTTCTCATGTATTATCTGAATGTCAGCAGCAGTCACCTTGTGCACTAAACTCATGGTGTACCAGGACTTCTTGACTAGGTTCTGGGAAACTTTCTTTCCCTGGTGCCAGTAGAAGCTGTGCCAAAGTCATAAAAGCAGAGTGGCCTCAAACACAATTTGCAAAATTTGCCATGAGTATAGAAGGTGAATAAATAGCACCAGTTTGCATAGTGTGTAAAGATATGATATGTACAAGTTAGTTTTTATAAGAATGAATGGGAGGGGACAGATTAATATAGACTTGTCTTGCCTAGTCATAGCAGAAAGATGAGTACTAGGATAATGTATTTGGGATAAGTAACAAACATTTCTGTGTATGTATGCTTTAAAAGAATTAACTATTTTCAGTTCATGGTCTCTTTGAGAACTTTTAATACCTAATTGTTCTCTAGTGGCTACAAGTGGTCAGGTAATAAAAAGAGTGGAAGTGTGGAGAAAAACAGTCTGACTGAAGGTTTCATCAAAGTTTGCTTTTCCTCTCTTGCCTCAGATCTTGATATCCTTCTCCAGTGAATCCTACTTCACTTGGAAGTACGTGGAAGTGAAGAAATAGGGACTTGGTTGACCTCCTTGGGAATACAGGACTCTGGGCAAAGAGAAGCAGGATGAACAGAATGAGTTTCCTGGGAAGGGGAAAAGTGAGACAGAAACTGGGGAAAATGAACAGGCAATTCACTGCTCATTACAGCAACTCCATTCTGGAGTCTGGAATGGGACCTGAGATTCCTAAATCTTCAGTTTCTCTGCTGCCAGAAAATGGAATTAGTGGTTGTTAGTAGTGGTTTAGGCCATTGGGACCCTAGGCTTAGACTAAGAGCCCATTCTTTAAGGTACTGTACAAACACAGAACAAAAAGACAGTCCTTACCATATAAGCTCTAAGTGACGTGAGAAAGGACAACAAAAATATATGCAAACGTGGGAAACAGGAAGAAACAGTGTGACAATACCTGAATATAAAAATTATCATGGTAGAAAGTGGTCTTACTAGATATCAGAGCAGAGAACCAACTGAAGAGAGGATGTGATGGAGAATACTGGGATTACTTTACAGATGTTTCTGAGAAATTCATCCTAGATTGAAGGGACAGCATGGGTGAAATCACAATGGGATTTGTACATTAATTGTATGTGTGAAGGAGAATAGCATTATAGACTTGTCAGAAGGTTACCTCTCAGTAAGAACTCGGAGTTACAGGCTGAGTGAGAATAAGGGGTCACTCCTTCATGCAACAAAGAAGGGTAAGCCAGGGAAGGACTGCAATGAGGTGATGTACTACATAAATAATATTTCCAGAGTGTCTGAAACAAGGGTTCAGGGAGATGAGATTATATATGTCAGGAACATATAGTTTTAAGTGGGGCAAAAATGAGAGCTTATTATATGACAAAGCACTTGCAAAGATGCAGGTTCAGTCTGCATAGGATGCTCTACAATATAATTCCAAGCTTATGATCCACAGTAGGATACTGGTTTTACTTTGGTAACAAAAATTAAGATCTATTTACAACTGTCTGCAACTAAGCTAAAGTTGATGAATAGATATCCATAATGAGATGTCAGATAGCTTGGCCAACCTTTTAGTTTTTGACTACAGAAATACTGATTAAATTTGTGTGTTTTGTGTGAGATCGTTCAGAGAAAGTATAAAGAAAAGAGAAGGATAAAGTCAGGTCATTGTAGATTCCCCACAGGCACCTAGCAGTAGGAAAACAGGGGAAGCCTCAAATGATTACAGTACTTGAAATGGAAAAATCATTGTAACGAAGGCAAATCAGTGTATCTACAATAGTAAGGTCAAATTAGCATTGATTAGGAAGAAATCATGGGCTGTATGAGCAGTTTCAGCTACCCATGGGAGCAGAATTGGGAAGATACGGTCTTTAACAAAGTGGTAGGAAAGAAAATTCAGTGAAATTAGATGAGATTTTGATGAGAGCTGATGAGGTAACAGGGATTGGCAGTATATATAGATGATTTTGTAAGGAAATGAAACCTCATGTGAACATATTCACCTTTTTCCCCAATGTTTTTTTTTATAACTTCTTGAATCACTTCAGCCACAAATGACAAGGATAATAACCTGAGATTAACACCTATGAATGTGATGAATTTAGACAACAGAAACACTAATAGCAACTCCATTAAAAACATTTCTTAGAACCCAGAGTATCCTTATGAGAGAAGTGTTATTCACGTCCTAACAACTGAAAAAGCTTTTGTCAGTTACACCATTTTTATGTGCCAGAAAACTGAATCTGAGACAAAAAACCCCAATAGTTCCACCGCTTGAGGGTGGCAGAAATTAAAAGGACTTTATATAGAATTGTAGAATCATGTAGGTTGGAAAAGATCTTTAAGATCAGGTCCAACCATTAACCTAGCACTGCCAAATCCACCACTAAACTATGTCCCTAAGAACCACATCTATGCATCTTTTAAATACCTCCAGAGATGGTGACTCAACCACTTGAAGAAAAAATTTGTGAAAGGAAAAAGTATAAGGTAAAGAAAAAGATTGGACATGGACAGGATTGAGACTTGTGATGGTTCACTAAAGAAAGTGGAAGGAGAGAAAAAAAATATTTGAGGTCATGACAGAACATGGGAGAAAGCTGTAGGGGAAAGAAATCAAGCATTGTAGTGTTATTAATTTTCTGGTGCTAGTCTGCATGGAGAATGAGAGCTGTTTTAATCAGTTACTGTGTTGTTTCAAATGCTGAAGTAGTCATAAGTTTCCAGTCATGATGATGAACAACTATCAGTGTGATGCCTCATGACAGAATTCATTCTGGTTTTTTGTTAAAGCTGGGCACATGAACACTGTTCAGAGAACACCAAAAATTTGCACAGTAAAGCTCTCAAAGGTAGGAAGCAAGAATGAATATCATTTTTGTAGAGTGAAATTGTGTACTAGGGCATATAAAGAAAAATCCAGTCTTTAGTTAACTCACTATTTACTACTTATGCAGTCAGCCAACTTTCTCACGCAACCTTTATCATGTTATTTTGACATTGCATTTCACATATATGTATAAATTTTGATAATGAGACACTTGAATATTTTGTTGTTGGTGGTAACCATTACTTTATTTATTAGAAGAAGTTTACCATGTGCTTTGTTATCTTCTCAGTACATTATGTTCTCATTAAAAAGAAATACAGCAAACATCTTAGGTGCTGGGTTATATTTCATATTAAATGTTCTATTAAATTCCGACTACGCTTCTTCACTCAGGAGAGGTTGAAAATTATTCTATGACAGGAACATTCAATTACATGTTCTGCTGGAAAAAGCAGAGTTCCATAGTTGACTACCTCCAGGTTATTATAAGTGAAATTCAAGATTATCTTTAGGGAACAGCCTAATTTTTCTTCTAATGTGTAGAACAAATGCCAGCTAAATCCCCACATGAATTCCTTCTTGAAATCAGCAAGAAAGCAAAAAAAGGAACCTCTCTCTAAATGAAAATTCCTAATCCTGAAAAAAGCTTTATTGTATTTTCAAATTTTAAACAGATATAGAAGTAGTTGTTTCTTCAGTGGCAGAAATCTGAGAAGGTAACACTGCTCACTAGATTTCTCACAGATTAGATTCTTGGAAATAACTCCCCTGGGGTAAAGAAGGCTGAATGACGCAAATACTCAGGCAAGTATTGGCTTAATTTTAGACATCTATATTAGTTGCTGAATAAGTTCTTATAAAGAGAGATGCAGATAAGTTAAATCAGTTATTTGCTAAGAATCACCTTTGTCTCTCTTTGGAGAGCTTAAAGAGAAGATCCTCCTATGTGAATTCCACTGTGAATTCCCTCGCACCTTCAAGTGATTGAGCAACAGGGGGGGCGGGGGTTGAGGAACCATGTCTGACTGATGTGTTTTGATTAATGTTATTCGCTACTAACTGCCAGAGAGGATTTTTTAGAAGTGGTGGAAGTATGTGGTAAGAGAAGACCCTGAAAGAAGAGTATATGGAGGTATAGTAGAGTAGTTTTTATACTACCAGGCTGAACTTAGGGAAAAACCAAATCTGTACGATGGGTTCAAAGGGTGATAATTATTTAGTTTACTTTTTTCCCCTTTCAGTTGGTCAGGAGAACTACCATCACATTTACCATCTTCGCTCAAGGAACAGAAACACATTCTAGCATTACTGGCAGTTTTGGAATTTTCTGTGCTGCTTTTTCAGAAGAAATCACAGGTACTCTGTTTAAATACCTTTAAAAACTGAGACAGAAAAGACAGTGAAGAAAAATTTGGTCAAATGAAAGAGCTTACACATATTTGTTCCTTGAAAAATTTCAGATATTAACAAAAAACAAATTATAAATACACACGCTTTCCTTCTAGCACAGCTTTTGTTGTTTGTAAAACTTATTTATCAAACAGTATGAGTGAAACAGAAGTAAAAAACAATATTGGTCAATATTTGCCTACTTAGCTCTCAACAGGTCTTGATCTTTTAGTGCTGAGCCTTGCAGATAGATAACTCTTTGGGACCACATTGGGATTTGTAACACCCTTCGGACCTGAGCATCCATCTCAGTAGGACACAAAATAACAACATAATAGTCCTGTCAAAAACATAAGGGGGAACAGTCATGTTATTTTTTTATGTTACCATTTATTGTTGCTAGAGAATGAGTCAACAGAGACTCAGGATGTCAAGAATGTCTCTGATAATTCTCAAATTTAATTGACAAAAGTTATTTTAATTCATGTGTTTAAAATGTTGAATTCTTTAAAAAAAAATGGCTGGACAGTTGTCAACTGCACACAAAAGATTCCAGGGTGGCAACTAAAGTCCGTTTAGAAGCATTTTTGTTTCCATATGAGTGTAATTGGTTTTAGAGAAAATTTGCATTTCTGTCATTCTAGCTGGAAAATGTAGGAAGTTTTCAACAATTGAAATGGAATTGTCTTCCCTCAATTTTTTTCCTCTACATTAATGTGCAAATGCAAACTCCTTTTCCTGTGCTACAGATAGTTCTTGTTAGGAAAAGTAAGGTTGCTCTGAAGTATACATGTGTGTACACATGAAAAGGAGAGATAAATGGAACATGAGAGGAGAGACTGAGAGCTTAGGACAGGCTTGTCATAGAAGTCTTAGCGCACACAGACTTTTGCAGAAAGTTTACTGCATTGGATCCAGTGCATCATCTTTATCCTTCAGCTTCCTGTTTCAACTGTGAAGGGAATGTATATAAGCTCTTTTAGGCTACATAAGTAGTATTTCTTTTCTTCTTTGTCTCCAGTGCATCGCAGAGCCTGACTCATTCTTCAGGCTAGTTAACTAAATTTTGTATTTCATTTTGTATTTGCATCTATAAAGAACTAGGTTCCTTTGTGCATTTGCTTATGCCCCTTACTAGCTAATTATTTTGAGGAATATTTTGGATTTGGGATTCGTCAAATTGCTGCTTGGCAATTTGAGGATTGTATTTTTGTGATTTTTTGCACTAGTTAATGAAACATGGTAGCACGGGTAACTTAGTAAAAGACATAGAGATTTAGTAAAAGAAATGGTCTGTAGCAAAGCTAATGATAATGAGTCTAAATTGCTATCCCATATAAATAAGCTTTTATATGATCAAAACAAGTCATATGACATCTGTTTGCATTAGCTAGGGAATATGTGTACACTAAGAAAATCTCTTGTGTGTAATCTTTCAAGGTGTTTGTTCTTTAAAGTATGTCTGTGTCTTAATTTCAACAACTCCAAAAGGATCTACTCTTCCTAACACTGGCAAAAAAACAGAGCAAAATGCGAAAACCAAAAGACACTTTGACTTGTGAGGAGTTTTGGATCCAGTCCCAGAACAAGAGGAAAAAATACTTTGAGTAGGGTTTTGTTTTCTTTTCTTTTCTTTTCTATTATGGAGTAGAATATAAGGAATTTGCATGGAAATATCTGTTTCCAAAAAGGACTGGCATAAGTCAACAAGACAGTAATTCTATCTATTTAGTCTATTTACCTCAATTTCAAATGTCTCCATACTGTATCTCAGCTGCTTATTGCAATTACAGATTGCCAATGCAGTCAGCTATTCCCAAATGCAGTTTTACAAATCAAAGACCATTTCAGAAGGCTGTCTGAAAAAAAATCAGGTTTGAGTTTTTCTTTTTTTTTTTTTTTCCACTGTAAATACCTGCAATCTGGGGTGAGCATAGAATTCATTTAAGAAATCCATAAGTAAGTCAATCTTCAGAGAGCTAACACACAGCACAACGTGTTTTTCCGTCTGAGCTCTGTGTCGACTGTAGTTACCACCAGACTTTTGTCTCTCCATCCACAAATATGCCAGCTGTTCAAACTGCAAGAGATGCCAATTGTCAGTGAAATGTAGACAAGCAGATGTGCAGTACAACTGTATTATGACTTAACAATGTCACATCATGCATCTCATGTCTCTACGAAAAGCTGCCCTTTGCTCACAATGTCTTTTTCTTTGTAAAAAGTTCTCTAGTAAGCATGTGAGATGAATAATAGGGTGATTGAAAAACATGGCAGTAGAGCCAGTCTCTACCACACAAAAATAGCAAGCTAAATCCATTAAAATATCATGAGATTACAGTAAATCTCAAGATTTTGGACAAGAATGAAGGCTGTACCTTATTTCCTTTCTGTATTTTTAATACCTCTGAGCTCTCACTTTCTGGTGCCATGTGACCTAAATGCTTCCCTCAAATGAAAGGTTAAATTTTCACACACTTTAGGTGTATACAGGGAGTATAGATACTCAGATAGAAGCACCGTTTTACTTAGTTTGGGTAGTAACTCTTAGAGATTTTCTAAGGTTCTGAAGGTGACCTTCTGTATACTCTCTTATCTGTCTTACAAATTTCAATACAACTTAAATACACAGCAGCTGTTAATAAAGCAAATTTGCCTTTGTCAGCTGAACAATATATACAGGCTAGCAGAAAACATTGCTCTACTAGTCTGAATCCTTTAGACTGAAGAGAATACTGTAACAATCACTGCCATTGTAACAGTCTGTAATAAAACATACAAATACCATTTCAAAGCTTCTTGTAAGTAATATGTATTTAATACTGAGCTCAATTTAACTCTGTGTGTGATAGCTGCTTTTTCTCGTCCACATTCAACTGATGAAGAGACTGAATCATGAATAATGATTGATTTCGTATCATACCAGGACAAAAGCTCAGGAGAGATTCTGTGTATGGAAAACTATATGAAGCCCCATCACTACAAAGCTATAAAATAGAGTAGCTAATAATAAGTAAATTTATGTGAAAGGGCAGTAGATTTCAGGTTATTTACTGGTAATGCAGAGCTCTTATGCCTGAACTGTATATCAAATCTACCTGAAAGATGAAATTTGTATTTCCTAGGAAATTCCAAATTTCTTAAAGAATATTTTAGTTTTCAATAAAATATATATTTTACTAAATTTCCACTGAGTGGGAATATAATTGTGTTAGTGCAGATGTCTGTGTATGCAGACATTAACTATCTAGGTATAATTAAAATGTTCAAACAATTTCAAGAAAATTAATGCTGAAAGCTTGAGCTTCCAACCTCCCAGGGTTTCTGTGTTGTCTGCTCACAGTGAGCTTTAGTTCACTCTCAGAGCAGCTGAGTCTGGAAACTATGGCTGTGTGAGAAACTTTGGAGCTTCATGGTCTAGAGGATCTACTATAAGCTTTGATAAGCATGCACAATGTCTCCCCACATCCCCTTTTTGTGGCATGAGATCTGGTAATCACCAAGTGTGGAACAGTTAACATCTTGGCAGGGCTTTCCATGTAGTCTCAGGGTTTCTGTCATGAAGCCTCACCTAATAAGCTGGGAAATGTTTGGTACAAATTTAATGAAACTAATTGACTCCTTGAAATACTTGGATTTTCATAAATCAGCCTTTTCATATTGAAACTGTTAGAAGTCCTAAAGTTAAGTAGGCATCAAAAACTCCTAACTGTGCTGCTGGTTCTGTGTGTTTGTACCAACATACACAGCTCTGAACCCAATTTGCTTGACTTGCAGATTTAATGAGATTTGTTTCGAGTTAGCACTGAGCTGTAAGAGAGGAAGTTGAGAGAACCAAGATTAGAAACAGTGAGAGCCTGCAGAGGAAATGCTGTACTCATAAAGAAAGTGCTGTCTACTGTTGTTTTTTTTTTAAATTGCTCCATTAATAACAAACCCATATCTCGGGATGAAGGAAGGGCTCTGTGGTACATGACAGGAACAGAAAGCTTTCACCAGCATTTCAAAACCGTTGCTAGTACTCTGGTTTCTAGTATAAATCTAGAACTATAGGAGAACAGGCAAAGAAAAAAGGAAGAAAAGAAAACAAAATAGGAGGCATAGAAGATAGTTATTTTTTTCTGACACTTTATATGCAATAATAATAGTATTATTTCAGTTGTTATTCTTTTGTTTTAAAAACAGTTCTAAAGAGAAGAAAAATCCACATTTACCTGTATGGGCAACACCACAAGAGCAACACAGATCATAATGACAACAAGCAGCTTTGAAGGCCATATCTTGGGTGTAACATCCCCAAAGCCCACAGTGGAAAATGTCACTATGCAGAAATAAAGGGAGTCAAAGAGAGTCAACCTGTTTCCTGCTCGTTCCAGATGCTGAATTCCACAAATACTATGTAGAAAAGAATGAATAAAGACACGAAAAATAAAAACTGTACTTAGGGTCAGTTCAAGTTTGATGATTATATGTGCAGAGAACTATTTATTTTCAGAATTCATAAATTGCTTAGCAAAGACTTTTTTTCCAAGAAGAGTAAAAATTAGTATCAAACCAGAAGTGTGTTGTTAGTATAAATTTCAAATGTCATTTGTAATAAAAGAAACTAATTTTTTATTATTTCAGTATGATAGTCACAACTTTGTTGCTAGGTTTGCTTAGTGGCTGTTGTGAGGGAGAGGTGGTATATAGAACATCATGGATTGATGCAATTCCTTTCTAAACCAGAACAAAACAGATGGTATGTAGTTGCCACCATTCAGAATTTTTTATAAACATCTTTTAACTTTTCCAGGGAGAGTTTGCTTGTATGGTCAAGAAAATGCACATACTGCTTTCTTCAAATCTATTGCTCTCTATGTTGGTCTCTATCCCTTTCTATGGCAAGAGTTACTAGCATGAACTAGTTACAAGAGTACGTGTTGCATACTAGAAAGATAACATTGGTACAAATGGGTTCTGACTGTCTAGAATAAACTGAATGTGAGAACTGCAGGCTATCAAATTGTCAGAGGAGTAAGTGTCCAGGGTCAGCCTTCAGGTAGAAAGTGGAAGATGCCAACTGGTATGAAGATTCTGCTTGCTCAAAGTACAGAATAGAAATATAAGTCTTGGTTGTCTTTGAATAACGGAACGAATGAAGTTCATTCCTTCCAGTCACACATACCTGTGAACAAGTAAATGGTAGCCCAAGTTAATTGGCAATTACTTCTCTTGTAATCAGCGTGATGTGCTTTTGGTTTTGAGAAGGAGTAGCAGAATCTGTCCAAAGGCCTTACTGCTATTTCATATGTTGCAGATTCCAAAAATATTTCACTTTGAAAAACCACACCATGATAAAGAGCTTCTTAAGCTTAAAATATCATCTTCCCTAATACAGTAGAATTACTTAGATCAGTTCAGGCTTTTAAATTCTATTCACCTATATGAAGAAAATCAATGTGTGAACCACCCTGAATAGTGTTTTTTCCCCTTGGAGTTAGCAGAATGATTTCTCCTCAGAGAATTAGATAATTGATAAATAATTTCATATTCCTTAGTAATTATTCTAGAACATACCAAAGATGATTTCTTCATATATGGTAACCAGATGGTAATAGTCACTCATTAATATCTGCCATGGTAAGATCTTTGCATCACCAGGGAGACCCTGTGTTTATAACAGCTTTAGCAGTTGTTCTTCTGTTCTCTGTTCTGTTCTCCAAAAATAATTTAGCTGTGGGCAGTGGCATTTCCAGAACATATGGATCAAATTCCCAGTTTCCTTTTCACAGTTCTAGCATTTGTAGTTTTCACACATCTCAAAATGTTCTAAAAAGGGTAGGGTTTTTTTCCCTGTTGTTTGCATAAGTTTCATACTTCAGTCAGAACCAATACTTTTATATTCCTATCCAATTTGTCCCACATTTTTCACTGGAGTTGTAATCTAGATCTTCCATAATTTCACTGTGTTCCCAGTTTTTCTTTTTGGTTTTCTTTTTTGTCTTTTTTTTTTTTTTTTTTTTTTTCAAATTTTTTTTTTTTTTTTTTTTTTTGACAAAGAGGATAATTATATTTTTGTTCCTGAAAATATTAACAGGATTGTAAGGAATTATGCTAATGAAAGCTACCTTTTGATCACAAACAAGGAAGTTTTTCAGTTAAATCCTTTTCCAGTGTTAATTTGAAATAATGGAGTATACTGCAGCGACATCCAAGAATGGAAAAAGAAGCTATTTTAATATCATTATTCAAGATGTTATATGTAATTTTAAAAGCAGAATGGTGATGGATTTTTAATTCTTTATTGTTATTATCCCAAATCATCTTGGTGCATTTTCTTCTCTTTAGTTGTCTTTTGTGGGTACATCTCTAAAACACATAACCTTGACTTCAGGAATGAAGGTCACAAGGGCCAGGAAAGCAGCAATTACACTGAGCCAGTGATATGGCTCCCACATAACAGGACTATTCCAATAGTCCACTAAGTGTGTTAAATATTTGCAGATGGGTTTGTATTGAAGCATGGTGCTATCATCGGTAGAAACATATTTTTTCTGATGCTGCTGTCTGTGAAATTGCTTGGTGTTTGTATATGCAAAAGGATCAGTTTTACTCCTTGTATCTGACAGGATGGACTAAAAAGTAAAAAAAAAATAAATTGGTACCCTACAGGGGTTTTTTTTTACATTTTCAAGGAATGAGAGTTGTTTCTTCACTTTTTGTAAAACCTTTCAAAAACATTTAGGTAAACTCAAGTCTTGATGAAGGAGATATTTTCTTTATAATTATTATTCTTCATGAGATTTCCATAGCCAGCCCACTCAATCATGCTTTAGCTTAACTGAAATAAGTTAATACATCATGAACCATTTCAGCCTTTTCTAAGTGAACAGTAAAATTCCCATTGAATTTAGTGAGACCAAGATTTCATTTTATTAGCTGTACTCCCTTATAGTCCTATATATTCCTATTCCTTGAAGCCATCAAAATAATTTTGTGCCTGATCCAAAATGTTGTGGATTCAAGCTGTTTCTCATTGAACTCAGTGGGCATGAGCCAGAGCTTCTCACATTTAGTTAACAATATTCAAGTCAGTAAGACATGGGAGCTATTTCTTTGCTCAAGCAGAAATTCAGCTCTTTGACAACTTGTTCAACAAATTAATTTCGTTTCTCAAAATTACTTGCACCTCATTTGCAGTTCTACCAAATTGTACTTGAAGCCCTAACCCTGAAAATAAAGGAATGATAAATCTAAAATTAGGTTAACAAGTCTTAATTCTACTGGGTGTTTTGCCACTCTGCCTTTTGTTTTTACTAGAGCCAGAGATCACAAGACTGCAGAAAACCCTGACTTTCAAGAGACAACTTTATGGCAGTCTAATTACCAAATGAAATACTACCTCTTTTACTCCTCCTGCAACAACATACTTTAATCTCACCACCAGTGCCTCTAAAGAAACATTACTCAGCATCTATACCATGTTACTATCTATTTGGGCTACCTGATTACATTGCATAGAGAGTGCAATGAAAAGTTATTGGCTGTCCATGAAGCCAAATCCACATGGATTAGTTACTCCATTCCCCACAACTTATTGACATATTTTAATATAACCTAATTCTTTATATTAATAGTAGTATCAACATTTTTCTTGTAAATTTAAGTGTTCAGCATTATTTTTTAAAGATGCATAAATACTGCATTTACCAACGCAGACAGCATATGTTCTTGTCTGCTTTCTCGTGTTTCCTGATATAATGAAATATGCAGTAACATGGACTTCATCTTATGTTGGTGTTTTTATTTCCTTGTTCTTGTTTGCTTCCTCCTCCTCTTTCGTCCCATGAAGAAACAATGATTTACTTGGTCATCCCTGGACAAACATAATGATTTCAAGCAGGAAAGGAATATTCAGCAAAGGCAATGTTTATACCAGATTGTTCTTGTGGACAAAATAAACCACTGTAATAATAAATACATAGAAAATGCCTAATTAAAACACAGGGCCCGATTCAGCACCTTCTATACCAATTTTAGGTTTCCTGTAAATTCAGCAAGGCTGTCTTTTCATAGTGGATCTAAGTCAGCAGTTACAGCAAAACAAAATTTATTCAATGGAGAGGAAATTTAATATTACTAAAAACCCCACAGAAATCCAAACCATGGGTCTGGTAAAGCAAAAGTAGTATCAGAAAATTTATTACAAACTTATTGAGAACAGAAGTGTGATTTTAAACACTACTACCACTGCACTTGAAAAACAAAAAGTAAATATAGTAACATGTAATCTCCGAAGATGACTTATGTTTAGTTTAGGTACCATTTGAACTTTTGAGAGTTCAATCTTAGTTTTACTGGAAGTTTTCTTTCTAATTCCGGGAATGTTTGTTTGCTTAAGTATTTTATGTGCCAAAACTAACTACTCTTTGTAAACAACCTATCTCCACATGCAGTACAAAAATAAATACTAAGTAAAATAACCCCTGAGATTAAGTCAGGGTTTTTTTGTCATGTTGTGGTAGCATGTCATAGAAACGGACATAACAAGAACCATTTGGATAGCAATTTGCAAGTACTGTGCATTAACTGTCCTTATTTGTAATCAATCATTTATATTCTTTTATATCAGTTTGTATTTTCATTTGTCAGTGTTCCCAAATGTGTCTGATTGCTATGTTTTTATTTTCACTTTTAGAGAAAATTATTGTTTAGAGGTGCAATCTCTTGAGGTCTAAAATAATGCACCAGAAGCTGAAGCCAAAAGTTAGAGATGCTTAGATGTCTTCAGGATAAGGTAGCAACTAACAGCAGTGTTTTCTTTGGACTTTAACGTTGAGCTTCAACTTGTATAATTATTTTGTTGTGTTTTAAGTAGCTAGCTACAAGGACTAGCTAATGATTATGCTGAAGTCAATGGGGAATAATTTTATCAGGTTCAGTGAGATTCTGTGGTACAGGCTCAGTGCTTAAATACTACAGAAGTTACATCTGAAATAACTCAGAAACATAGTAATTCTGCATATTAAGTAAGTGTTCCCAGTAGTTTATCACACCCAAAACTCTTTAAAGTTTCTAGATATCCTACTAGAGAATGGTGATGTTAGAACAAATTACAAATTATTATTTTTATTATATTACAATTATTTGATTGTTCTGTACTGCCAATTGCTGTTTGTATTATTTTAAAATTTTCTGATGCTATTGTCAGATTTTTTTTTTCTTTATGAGAAAAAATGGAATGAACCATCAGTCAGGAAAATTATTAACAGACCATCAACTGCAGCAAATATCTATGGGTAAAATTCAAACACAGTGAAATACTGAAGAAGACAACCGTGTTAACTTTCCAGGAAATACATGGCAGGCATTTGAGATGTATTTTACTACTACAGTGGCTGTAACTATCTGCTTAAGGAAATGAAGGTATG